CGGCCCGGCCGCCGGTCGCGGGAGGACTTCGGTCGAGGCCGGGCCCCCGACCTCCGGGCACGACTCGCGCGGACGGAGCCGGGGAGAAAGGCTGGGGGGAAGCGACTCTGGTTTTCAGGAAAATTCCCAGAGTCCGACGCCCCGCCTCTGGGCCCCGCGGTCGTGGGACTCGGTCAGGTGAGACCCGCAGTGTCAGCCCCCGCCCGGCGCTTCCGGCCCACACCAGACTTGGCGCTCGAGCGCCTTGGATCCTAACCCCGGCGCTGGTTTTACTGCCCTATTTCAGCTCCCCGTTGCTGAGCCGGACCCCCCACCCCCCACCAGGGTATTCAAAAAGGGGTAAAAAGCGGTTCAATTTGTGGATGACAATTATTCTGGCAAAAAACAGCCCTAATCGTGTGTGGCAGGGTCTTTCAACCTTTTTTCTCTCTCAGGGCAGAGGGCTTGAAAATCACCGCTGTGTGGTTAAAACAAGGCAGGAGCCAACACCCCTGTTTATCACCATCACAAAAATAAGCTCTTTGATTTTTCCTTTTCCCATTTTTGTAACATGTTAGTCTGGGAAGTACTATATCATGTCAGTCTCCTCAGTGGAAAGGGTCACTTTGTGTTTGGCAGTGTCTACGTCCAAATTTTCAACATAAAAAAACTTGCCAGAAACCAAGTGTCAAAATTATCTCCTCAACCCAACCATAAAGTATCAATTTTTAGGTAACATTGAGTGAGCCAAGCTATTAGCCAGGCTACAGCTTAATTGGTACTTCGGAAGAAACCCCAATTCTCTTCCCCCCAACTGGGGATTGTGTATCCCCTGAATCGTTACTTTAACATACTTGGATTCTCTTCCCCCCAAATAGGAATTGTTTATCCTCTAAAACGTTACTTTGACATACTTAAGCGTATTTGCCAATCTCAGACCTCAAAGCTGTGTCTGGCACATGGCTCTTTTATCTTCAAAGTCTAAATGTAAAGTTCTGTGGAGACAGCTATCTATATACAGGAGAACATCACTACTTGTCCTCTTCATCTCCACCTGCCCTCTTGGTCCCCAAGTCCACCCCAGTAATGACTAGTGCAGTGCTGTCACACAGCAAGCACAGCCAGTGCACAAACCAAGCCTCAGAAACAGTAACAATCCCACTCCAACTCCTACTGCAGTTTAAAAAATATTAATAGCTCCCTGTACAACATTTAAAAAGTGAATACTTGGTCTATCTGTTGATCTACCCATTAACAGTTTAATTTCAAGGGAAAGAATGTGCTTTATTATTGCTGGATAAGATATTCAAAAGAAAAACTCTGTATTATGATCAAGGAAATTTAAAACACAACTAGTTTGGGATATGACCTTTATTGAGCTTATCCACCAGAGTGGAAATAATGTCTGTACAAAACCAAATGTTTGTTACTATAACTTCTGCATCACAATTAAAATCCAAACAGTTTTTTAAAAACAGTCAACTCAATCAAAACCCACTACTTCAGAATCAATAGCTTCTTTGAAGCCACAGTAACACTCAAATATGGTTAAGACTTGAATGCAGAAATTTGGTTGGTTGGAAAGCTAATTAAACTTCCAACTTGCTCAAATAGAATTACAAAAAGGCAAAATTGTGTTTTTCACAGAGATACAGTCCACTGGAATCACCAACACTGGACAGCTGTTAGAGTATTTAGAGTCCTGAGATAATAAGGAATCCAGGCATCCTTTAGACAGTCTTCTGTTGTCCTTTCTTCCCAATCAGAGATTTGTGGATGTGTGGAATAACACCTAGAAGAGTGACAGGGATTAATTCTACTTTTTTAAAGATATCTATTTTAAAGATACCTATTTTTTAAAGATACCTATTCTTTGGTACTTGGAACCAAGGCAATTACACCGTTCAAAGTGGAAGATATCTTTAAAAGCGTGAAGCTCAAATATGACAAACTGAGTTATACACAAATCAGATTTCACGATACACTGCATCAAGGAAAATACTTAAATGTCATCTTTTACACTAAAACCATTAATGGAAATTGAAGCAGCAAAGAATTCCTTCCTCTAAAAGAAATTTAAAGTAAAATTTTAGTACATACCACCGCCAGCAATTGTAGCCTTGATGAGAGAGTCCAATTCCTCATCTCCACGAATAGCAAGTTGCAAGTGACGAGGGGTAATACGCTTTACCTTTAAATCTTTTGATGCATTTCCTGCCAATTCAAGTACCTAGAAGGCATAATCTAATCAATCTCCTGTTTTTGTTTTTTTTTAAATTTCAACCACATCCAGAGAACAGAATCAAACCTTCTTGAATAACTGTCACCCCTCACTACCCAAATAGCAAGATATACGAAAGCTATACAGGGGTATGCAATTACATTTCCAAGAGCAACAAACTCAACCCCAGTAGGCTCCCATGCTGAACACCAGCTCCCTCTAGCGTTCCTGTAGGTTCCTCGCCGCGTTCAGGGCTTGGGAGTTTTCTTGCATCACTTTCCTCCTTCCCTCTCGCCGCCTCCCCCGCCCTGCCCCCCACCAGATTATAGACGTTCACCCATTTACCTCTGCGGTGAGGTACTCCAGGATGGCTGCACTGTAGACAGCGGCAGTTGCGCCCACACGTCCATGGCTGGTCGTCCTAGATTTCAGATGTCGATGAATACGGCCCACCGGGAACTTCATTTTAAGCACGCACAAACGTAAATGCACAAAGATATGAGAGTCAAAGGCAGGGAAATTATACGCGCGCCAAAGCAAGGGGCATAGGCGCTGGTGCTGCAACGCGTCCCAGCATCGACACACGTGATCGCCCCCCCGTCTTTATCGTATCGGCAGCCCAAGTCGCGACACCGAGTCACCCACGCTAAGACGAAATGCCCATCGAGAGCGATGATAAACAAGAAAAGAGGTGCAAAGAAAAAAATGCCACGACACCCAGATTGCACGAGAAACTACTGACCTGCAAGCCGGCTCTCTGCGAGCGGGAAACCGCCTTTGTCTTGGCCTTTCCGGAGTCCTTCCCAGCCTTACCGCCAGCCTGCGGCGCGCACACGCCCGCGAGCGGAGGAGGAACGCAGAATATAGAATTACCAGGGCGGCGCGCCCCTCCCCCACCGCGCCGCGTCCG